TATTGTTATCGTTCTGCAAGAGAGCTAGTCGTGAGGAAACGAAACTCTTTTTAATTCACAACACTTGAAAATCGCCTTCGGTGACAACATGAGTACGGTGCGTAAACCTTGGTGGTCGATGAAGAAGAAAAAAGACTGCCAAACGATAAAAGTCAAACGACGGTTGTGCCGAGACCAGTGGAACATTTTTCGTGATGATGGGTCATTAAGGCACCAAGCATTGGGTCTACGTACTCCGCATTCTCAAATGACATATAATGATGGATTAGGTTATTAGTTACGCTTAGAACTTGTTAAATATTAAGATCTTAGACATTTCCGAAGTACTCATTCGTGATATCAACGCATCTTCTTGATTGTAATCTTGATCTTAACACTGTGTTTGACGACGACGAAAACCATCATTGCATCATCCTTAAGCAGGCAGAATACTGAAGTGCCATTGCTGATATTCACATGATTCACACTTGTGGGAATATCTTTTTCTTACTATCCATCTTTCTAGCGAAACTAAAGATTTTGCATTAATTCGCAACAGCTTCAAGTGGACTTTTCAAAAACAGGGACTCATGAAAAAGTTTTGGCTCTAGAATTGATCCCCTCTTATAGCGAATACTTTTCTTCCGGAACTCTCGTTTAAAGTACGAAATCGCCAAACTCAATTTCCAGAAAGAAAATAAAAGAATTATGTGAAATTCACTCGCTAGAATCACCTGACTGTTACCTAAATTGTTAGCAAAATACAAGTTCAAAACATGTACAAGTTAGCAGGCGGCTTTTTTCTATGACACCTGATGGATGGGAACTCAGGAAAAAATATTTGCGAGAAACCAAACCCATGTTGAAAAATGCTAGAGAACCGTTCCTGGTCGGCTTGACTTTTTTTTTTGGTTGGTAAAAAAGCAACACAGAGTTTTTTCATGTTTTCGAATCAATTCTTGTTTCAAAACATTGCTTTTAGTTGAATATGCAGATGAGCTAAGCGTTCAAAGAGAGGCAGGCGACTTTTCAACTCTTGTAAGAAACTTTCTGGATCCTTGTAAGAAACCTCCCTGGAAAACCTCCTACTCTAGAAACCAAATCAATACAAGTTGTACTAGATCAACATAGCTCACATATATATAGCTTGAAGTATGAAGAAAAAGTTTTTCCCGTAGTAATTGCGCTAAATAACCGAGTGACTGGTTGAAATGTCCTTTTAACAACAGCAGAGCCGTAAAATTAGATGAGCTAAAAAAACGCGTCCAGCTCAGATTTAATCTCACAGCCCATTTAGCCGAAATGGAAAGAAAAGAGTAAGCAGAAGCACAAATTCTGCGGTACTTGAAACATCGCTGCTCAGAAGAACTATGGATACAGTCGTCATTCAATCACACCATTAATCATCACCTACAAAAGATTTCCCTTAACAATGGAATACATCCAAAAATGACCTCATAAAATGGCGAAAGCTTTCAAACCCTATAAATCTATTTTTCTAGTTATTTACATAGCCCGCTCTAACACATTTCTTGAATTACAGATTTTATTTAATTCGGTTCGCTTGTCCGTATCCATCATCCGTGAATGTGTTCGGACATACATTTGAGAATCCTGAGATACCTCTGCTAAAAAACCACACCCAACATTTATAGATCGTACGAACCTCTGCCCAGAGAAATCTGGAAACAATCTGATGGGAAAATTAATTGTCCTAATGCCACATCGAATCTGCTACCAGGCGCGTATTTCACACGGTATCTCTACCCAGAACACTTGCTGCACCCATCGTGAAATTAGCGGTCATGAATAACCAAGTATACCCAGCCATCCACGTTTTTTTTATTTTTTCGTACAACCCTACAACCCGTTTTTTTCGCATCTACTGTGCGGATCTAGGCACTTCTCGGACCCGATTCGTTTCCTCCAGCCCCTCATCCACGAAGGCCTTCCAACTTTTACGTGTGGCTTCGGCGACTGCTTGAGTATTTATATTCCATCTTGAATGTCGTTGAATGCTCGTCGATTCGATTCTCCCTAGAGGTCTTGAATAGCAGAGTGCTAGACCGTTCCCACTTGGATTGCAGGGAATTTTTCCCCAGAGAAGTCCGGTACTAATCTCCGGACATCGGTGGGATGAGAAGCTTGGTGACCCCAGAGTGAGATCGAACCCGCTCCGTGCTCATGACGATCTTCTCAATTCATCTACATTAGGAAAAAAGAAAGTATGCAGCAAAATCTCCCAAGGAATCTCAGGTACTTAAAATAAACGCAAAATCTTATCATACAAAAATAATCCAGTGAGAAAAATGTAAAAAACTTATTGAACTTGGGTGCAATTATACAGCTCTAGAAGACTGGCCTTGACTTTTACTGTCACATTAATTGGATCAATATATTAATAAAACTATAGTTGTTGAACAAGAATGTTTGCAGAGTACAACAAAAAGATTTAAAAGAAAAACAAGAAATTCCCAAGAACCATGGAAAGACTATTCACAGAGAAACGTTAGCACATTCAAAGTCAAATTTTCAGTCTGAAATCGGATACTGATCTTAGAGCAGCGCCTTTTCCCACGCTTAGAATTGATGCACGCTATGAGCCAAAGACTCAAATGATAACATAAAGTATTACTCCTTTTAAAAACTGGGCACCGCTGTCAGGGAACGAAGAAAGAAGCAATGAACGCTTGGTTTCTTCGGGGTCGCACCTAAGACCAAGTATGATGTATTGCTGGACTTTTCTAACCATTGGGCTACGCTCACCCAGTTCATTAGTACAGTGATAAGCATCTCTACCCACAACTTACCCGTTATAAATGAAAAGTCCCGAACGATCTGTTTCTTTTGGGCATAATGAGCGCAACACTTGGTGGTTTTGTGGGGTCGTAATTGACTGTGCCAGCGATAGTCGGAGCAAAATGTTGACATTTTCTCCTTATTCATTGGTTATGAGGCTTAATGGCAGTCAACTATCACCAAAATTAATCACATTATTCATCGGTTCTGAACGGCATTTCAAAATCATTGTTGGACGAGAGATGTCTTTCCTGAAATGAACGTTTTACCAATGCAAATGTCCGCCCGTTCCAGCACAAAATCAATAGTCCGAGAGAATTTGAAGACGTATTCGGCTCAAAAGTTAAATTTACGCATCAGAAATGGTGCCAGAATAACGGAGTTATCTTTTTGGAGAACTGAAGCTGCTGACTACAGAAAGACAATCTTAAAAGGCGTATTTGATCTTATGAGAATAAAAATTCTTAGAAAATCAGTAGATAGCAAAAGCGGAGTGCTCCTTCTTTCGTTACCTTATCGGAATCCCGGAAACTTAAAACTTTTGGGGTTGGAATTGGAAATAACAAACAACTTTGGAAAGTATTTCTATTTTGGACAGTCGTCCAATCTACGACAACATGAGCCTGGTCGAAAACATGTAAAAGCGAAATCGGTCATTGAAAATGAATTATTCCAACATCATCAACCGTCATTGTACTCTCAGCTTTCCTTCATAAGTCTTGGAAAAGAAAGAAAACCGAGAAACGTTTTCTCTTACATGCATACTGTTTTTCCAATCGATAGTTTCTTGGAAAACAAGTATAGGCACTTAGTAAAAAAAAATAAAGGATAAAGCTCTCGGCGTTGATCAATCCTTGACGGATGTGCCATGCATTCGACTTCAGTAAGCACGGTTTGGAGGTGACTGAATGCATATGTGGCCTTTACAATGACTCGCGGTAGCCTACCGATCTGTTGAATCAGTGTTGCTATCCTCCTAGACAGGTCTGGTACCAATTTACCGACCCCGAAGGATCGGAAGGCTTGGTGAGCCATGGCCGCGGGAATCGATTGCACGTGTGTGTTGCAGGGCGCAGCCGACCACTGCGCTACGCGTCCCTAGGCACTTAATAGCTAAGTAATATTCTTCCCTTTACCCTCTTTATAGCAAATAATCAACATTATTAAACAATTAATTGAATATTAAGCCTTTTCTTATTAAACTTAAAAAATAATCTATAAAGCAACAAAGCGACAGAAACTCGTAGTTAAGAAATCAAAACGGAATTCACAATGTTTGCTTTCTATTTTCTGCATTCTATAAATTTTATGGCAGGGTATTGAGCGAAATACAACCAGAAGATTGCTATTTGTAAAACTCCGGACTGCAGGTGTCTGCCGTGAGGAACGAACGCGTTATTGTCCTTTCCGGGGTGTAACGCGTTCGCCACCACACCATGCGGGCCCTTCGTTTCGCTTGTCTCTCAGCTAGTTCTATCGATCACTTGCCATCAGCAATTACTCGTCTACCCAGATCAATCCCGTTGACGGGTGATTGCTGATGGCACGAATCGATAGAACTAGCTGAGAGCCTGGCGAAACGAAGGACCCGAATGATGTGGTGGTGAATGCGTTGCTTCTCGGAAAGGACAATAGCACGTTCGTTCCCCAACGCAGACACCTGCGGTTCGCAGTTTTACAAATGGCTCAAACCGTAATATTGAGAATGTTGCTGAGAACAGTATGTTGGGTTCCTTGAACGACAATGGGTGCCAGTTAATCAGTTATCACATCTTTCAATTCTAATGGGGATGCTCTTTAGAATCCTTTAGAAGTCTTATAGTGAATTTAGCTCTATTTTAAATAAAACGTGAGAAAAGTCTATCGTATTCGGTCAGAAACTGCAGCTATGCTTCAGTTTTATCAACAAATTCTATTGAAAGAGTAACATCACAAACAACGAGAAGAATAAAAAGAGGACGAAAAGATGAGGAGAATGAAAATAATGATCGGTATGAGTTGTGTAAGTAATTAGAAATATCAGACAATTTATTTCAACGTCCTCCGCTTCTTTTCATCAGTAGAGATATTAGGTAAGAACACTGTTGCCTTATTCTTTATGAATAAATATTATGCTTGTAGCATAAAGCTTAAGATCGTCACATCAGTACAACAATTCTCCACAAAAAAAATAACAGACGAAAAATACGAAATGGAGGGGAAATAACTATGTATGGGAAAATTTAAGCACTAAAGAGACTGACCTTAAAATAATGCGATGCACACGCTTTGGTCGTTTGATCGCACTGGAACACCAACTCTCGGAGTTTCTCAACAATTCGCTCCTGTAATGTGAAGAATCTGGATCGACCAAAAAAACAACTACATGTCTCCTCATTCCATAGTAGTACTCTTTCCTGCAGACTCCAGTTATTTTAACAAAAGTAACAAAAGGTAATAAATCATACAAAAAATGCCGATAAGTCCGCCCTTTATTTCCTGGAGCGCTAAGAATATCATCGCTGCTGCGCAGAAAGTAAAAACCCAGTTTATTTCCATGAAGAAATAGCGCTTCCTTGTAAATTGAAACGGAAAAAAAAGTTGAAGAAAAAGCACTTCAATTATCATCAGCTCTGATGACGAGAATTAGGAATCAGCAGTGTCAAGCGTTTAAACGAGAAAAAAACTAATTGTCGACATTTTTGTTAGAGTAGGCATACAGTACAAAAGAAAAGGTGATATAACTTTCAGAACACCATGAGAGCCACCACTGATTGAATACGAAACTGCAGATGCGGTAGCCTTTGCAAATGAATATGTGCTTTGGAAACAAATAAAACAAATATAAAAACAAAAACAACTCCCAAGTCCGACTTTCTATTAACCTCGGCATTGATTGAATATATCTCTCTACTCTTGTTCAGCAAGCACGAGGTGCTATTTTATTTCTTTATTTACGCACAAGCTGACGTTTCGGCGGATTTCGCTTTCCTCAGAGCCGCTTTCTATGAGTCTTCCACTGAGTATGTTGCGTGAAGACCGACCGCACCAAATTCACATTGAAGCGTAATGAAATACAAAAAAAGTACAAAAATACAAAAAAAATAAAAAAATAAAAAATAAAATAAAAATACAAAAAACAACAACAACAACAAAGACGAAGCCCGCGTTTGATCATCAAAACAGAAGAAAAGTGAATCACTGATCAATCTTGAAATTAAAGTAAAGGTTTTAAAATAGTGAAGACTTTTGGTTTAAAACTTATTTACAAAAAATAGCTGAAGAGAAAACAAAACGGTTTGATTTGACGTCACAGACATGAAGGCTTCATATTCGTCAAGGTGTCTGTCTAACTTATATAAATAATTGAACGAATAAAAAAAACATTAAGAGAACGACTAGTGTCTGCGGTGGGGAACGAACGCGCTATTGTCCTTTCCGGGGAGTAACGCGTTCACCACCACACCATGCGGTTTCGCCTGTCTCTCAGCTAGTTCTATTGATTCTTTTATCTGAGATTGATCTGAGAGAAAGGCGAAACGAAGGACCCACATAGTGTGGTGGTGTACGCGTTAGTCCCGGAAACGACAATAGCACGTCCGTTCCCCACCGCAGACACCTGCAGTCCGGAGTTTTGCAAATATCTCAGCATCATTAAAGTTATATTTCGTAATGTATACCCTGCCGTTAAAAAGAATAGGCAGTAAATAAAACGGTTAAGAGAACGACTAGCGTTCAGGTCGCCTCTCGTAAATATAATTTTACTGGTCGGTAAATTTCTTTTAGCATCTATCTTAAGTCCTTACAGCCTATATAAAGCAATTTTGCATACAACACAGCGATAGCGTTACTAGTAGAAATACTTCTCTGCCTAGAGACGTACTTTGAAGTGGAAACTAAAATAATGAATAGCTGGCGTGAGCTTATTTTCGCTGGTAGCATTATGGAACTTAGGCAATTTATTATCCAATCCTCTTCATTTTCAACATTTCATTTCCGCATCTGTAGCTAACGACTGTTGACTGCCTTTCACGAGCCGGCGGTACGGGTATCAACATTGGATCTAGTTGGTTTACTACTGGATTTTCTTCGACTTCTAACATTCCTGGTCCAACCTCATGACATTTGTTGGAGCTCCGGCGGTGCGAGAAGCAGCATTGAAAAATCGCTAACCAACGGTAGCAGTAGCAGTTTCAAGCTAAGTGTGTTTATCACCCTTCGTGTTCTGCCGCCTTAACGATTATTGACTCCCTTTCATCACTGGCCAGCGGTACGGGTAAGAGCATCAAAATTAGAGCCTTTTTCTGGATTGTGCTGAGACGAGGTCGGTATAACAATATGCATTCAGCTAACGTTTCACGTCTTCGTCTTCTTCAAAGTCAGATTTATTTAGGTCGAAGGGACACAGGATCCGTCGGCGGATCCATCCTGTATAACAGAGCACCGCCGTATGAGATTCCTCATTCGATCGCACCTTCACTTTACTTTGGATTCGATTCGATGCGACAACTAACGTCCCGAGGACGACCACCTGCGGACCATCGACTCCAATCAGTCCGGCTACGAAGAAGACGTGGAAACTTCAGCCAAATAATTTTAGTAATCTTAATAAAATAAAATAATTTTGCAGCAACCTTCTGTCTGCTCAGTAATCAAAAACAGCATTGATTATTTATGCCTAGGTTAAACAAAAGTCGGTTCTTTCTTTTTAGAAAAGCATCAAACTTAGGTCGGTTTGTTATTGAAAATTTTGATTTTTCCAAAAATGAGGACAACACATTAAGAAGTCAGAAGACTGTGGACCATCAATTAAGATCATCAGCTCCGATGAAAACAAAAACGTCGAAACGTTAGCTTAATAAAGATCTTCATTAATCTCGTGTCAACTTAACAATCCAAGAAGGTGTTGAACCTTTTGATTTCTCTCTGCTAGCTGATAAAAACACCGACTTCTGCACGATGTGCGCAATGATGTATGTCCGGAAGAAATACAGGTTGTTACCACCGGACATTATCATTACATCCCCCATCAGCATCGTGTATAAAAGGGCAACACTGAGTGAGGATGCCTCATTCGAGGAGATGGCTCATTGAAGAAGACCTGACTCGACACGAAGGCGAAGCTGCCACGTCGAGACGAACAACAAACATGGACCATCGACTCGGATCATCGGCTCTGAGGAAGACGAAGACTTCGAAACGTTAGCCGAAAATAAATAAATATCATTATCAACCTCGTGTAAGCTCATCAAAGAAAGAATACTTTTGATTTATAATACCTTTTGTATTCCATGCCTCTAACGGTTACTGAGTGTTTACCACTAGCTGGCAGTGTCAGCAGCGACTTCGCTTATCATTCAGCCTTTTTCGACTTCTATTCTTCACCGCTTTCGGTATCGATGAGGAGAGCTCATTGATGTTGTGACTATGAACGTAATTAAATGCCCGACTGAATGTGCTCAATAGAATGACTCTCAAAGGAAATAGAAAGTGAGCAAACAGCGATATCGACCGACGACGCATAAGCCTATGAAAAAATCAAAAAAAGAATTACCACGGTCGAATGCTAAAATGAAAATCAGCCAATAATGCTTCAAAAATTGTAGAAAAGCTGCCCAACATCAAATGAACCACATACGGGGTACTACAGGACCCATTCTTTTCTATTATTTCTAACCATTTAATTTAAATTAAAATAAATACACAAAAAACAAGAAAAATAAATAAGCAAGGAAAATAAAATACACAAAAGCAAGTGAAAAAAATAAAACGAACACTAAAAAAGACAAATATGACGATTAATTTGAATGATAATAGACTGATAGAATGGGGCAGACTTTGGCCAGGCTGACTTCAGGTCTCCAGGGAACTACAGTGGCTAAACCAGCAAAGCTCAGGAAAAGTGAGTTTTCGCTGGGGCCCGCACAACCAGTGAAAACGGGTCATCCAAGTATTCAAGTATCCAAGTTAATTTGAATGTGTTGCCTTGAAAATATTGAAAAACGACAGTTGGTTTAGAACTCTTTGCTCTCCTATTTTGCACTATCGCTCCCTTTGATCTAAAATAGATCAAAATTTGTCGCACACCACGGCAGAGACCCAGAAGCGGGAAAAGTGCAAGAGGGCTGGGGTAAATGAGGCACAGACGAAGAAGGAGTGCGTAAATGAGGAAGACTGAGAAACAAGAGTCCGGATTGGTCCCTTCTTAAGCACTTTAAATCCGTTTTTTGTGTAATTCACGGGTCAATTGGTTCTGTCGTAAAGAATTTTACAGTTTAATTTAAGGAGTATTCAATTTCTTCTAAATAGTAACAGGATTACTGTTGGCGCTACTGGTGGAACGGGATTTTCCAATTGCCCTTATACGAAAATAGATCTATAAAACAGCCAAATTATTTGACGAAAGGAAAATGAAAAACAGCATAAATGCTCGAGGCCCAATAAATGTGCACGGCAGTGTGCCTCTTTGAAAACAATGAAATCAATAGAAATTAAAAGCTTTGAAGAAGAAAAAGGGATAGGAGGAACGAACGAAAACAGAATTTGTCGATGAACAAGGAAAACCTCTCGAGATTAGACAACATTTAATACAGTGCAATAATAATGAATGAAAAACGAGAGTAATGAAGGAGAAACAAAAAAAACCTTTGCGCTTTCGAGCTCTTTCCTTTTACGTCGCAGCTCAGCCATGCTGATGGCGAGTTGCTTCTCTGCTTCGGCTTTCTGTAAAAATTCGACTTCGTTGTAGAAGTCGGGAAACGAAACCCATCCATCGAATCATATTTGTTTGAACATAAAAATTTCTTGGAGATTAGACAGATACAGAAAAAGCAGCGCAATAAAAATAATAACGCGAAAAAAGATGTTCCCATGATACGAACACGTTTGAAATTAAGACGTTTCCAAAGAATAGGGAGAAAAACCACGCTGTATAGAGTTGTAGAAAGATGTGGGCGAAGAGCATTACATAGAGATGCCCTAAAACACCAACGTTGTCGTTAGTTCAACTCCTTCTCGGATAAACCATACCTTCTATCCCGTCCGAGTTAGTATATAAGACACAGATTTGTCTGCGTGAAAAAAATTGGTTTATTCGATCCGTAGGCCGTTATAAATCACTGAATAGTCCAAATATACAACCAACCTCTTTTACCGTACCACAATAGAATGTTTGACAGATCCCTTAAGGAATAATAAGAGCTAAATGCCTTATACATCACCATTTTATGCAGTAGTGTAGTAAATTTTTCCCACTATTTCATGCGAGGTGCTGTCAAGAATCGCCAGGGTGGTAGAAGAAACTTCATCGCAAGGTGGCAAATCCTACTTTGGATTCACAAGGGTAAGCGACAGGCTTCGCTTTTGACCATAGAAGAACTGTATTCAAAGCAGAAAAATAATGATTAAATGAAAGATATGCTAAGGCCAACATGATCCCTTGTGGGGATTTCATACGTGGTTTTTTTCCGGCCAAGTATTTAAGCACCGTTCATAAAAAAATTATAATGAAAAAGCAAGGAACTAAAATATTATAGAGCTTAAAAAACCTTTATTTTGTGCAGAAAAAAATTAACCCTAAACATTAGGAATTACCTTAATGATAGCCTCTTCCTCAATTCGTTTTTTCTTCTCCGTTTCTCGACGTTTCTTCATTGGATCCGAGTTGATAGAAGGTGAGACAGTTACGAATTCGCTACGGAGGGCGTTTTCTCGTGCTTTTCGTACTGCTTCTTCACGAATTTTTAACGCAACACGGCACTTCTCTACCATATCCTCGCAATCATGCTGAAATTACGGTCAAATAAAAAGGAAACGTTCAGACATACGACGTCAAAATAGGCTACAATGTTTGCGGGTTATAGCGATAGTCGAAAATACTGCGGTTGCAAAATAACCCTAGACTCCCATGACCGACTTTCTTTTAACCTCGGCATTGATTGATAATTCGATGTTTTTCTTCAATAAGCAGACACGAGGCTGTTATTATAGGATTTATTAGGATAGAATTCCTAAAGTTTCGGCGGTTTCATCTTCTTTAAAGCCGTTTGTTTACTGTAAGTATTTAAGTTAGTTGACGGATAGCANCCATGACCGACTTTCTTTTAACCTCGGCATTGATTGATAATTCGATGTTTTTCTTCAATAAGCAGACACGAGGCTGTTATTATAGAATTTATTAGGATACAATAGCTGACGTTTCAGCGGTTTCGCCTCCTTCAGAGCCTGAAAAGGTCAAATTGAGATGCGATCTACTCGGCCAAACATTTTCATAACCCCAGCAGATACAACTTAACAAATAAACAAAAACGCACGAATCGAAAACATCAGTGCATAAAACTCTTGAAGCGTTTTAGATCAATTCCAAAAATTCGAACATGAGCCGCAAGGAGGAGTGTCTTGTCATCACGCGTGAGCTGGCGCCATATCTCAGGCTAATCCAATAACCTGACACAGACACAGTTATCGCCCATGTATTACTCTGTGCGGCTGCTATCCGTCAACTAACTTAAATACTTACAACAAATAGACGGTAGGTGTTTAAATGAAGCTGTTTCTTATTCGAATGCAAATCGATTTGTCAAGTTTTATCTGCTAGGGTTATGAAAGTGTTTGGCTAAGTAGATCACATCTCAATTTGACCTTTCCAGGCTCTGAAGAAGGCGAAACCGCCGAACCGTCAGCAATCGTATCCTAATAAATTCTATAATAACAACCTCGTGTCTGCTTATTGAAGAAAAACATCGAATTAACCCTAGACTGTTAGAAGTGGCACGAAACCATTTCATACATAATGCTTCTTCACACATTGTCTATCCAGATCTTTTCTTCCAGTGAATAGTTTCCAAAAACAACAGCAACAATTTCAATGATGTTGAGATGTTTGCAAAACTCCAGACCACAGGTGTCTGCGGTGGGGAACGAACGCGCTGTTACCCTATCCGGGAACTAACGCGTTCACCACCACACCATGCGGATCAATGCACCTCCTTTCACTGATAAGATTACTGCCAAATATTTATTCGAGTAGCGTTTCGACGTCTTCGTCTTTATCACAGGTGATTATCTGAGTTGGTGGTCCGTCCACAGTCGTTTGTCTATTCGATTTGGAGTCTTCGTCGTCGTGCAAGCAGATCTCTTACCGCGCGCGGTTGGGTGAGGTAGACTTCGAGCGGCACTCCACTGAACGAAAACCGACTTGATACGACGACGAAAAAGCCACATTGAGAAGACCAACGACTGTGGACCATCGAATCAGGTCATCGGCTCTGATGAAGACGAAGACGTCGAAACGCTAGCGGAATTAATATTTGCTAACAATTTCGTGTTGGTTTACCAATGAAACAAAGTGGTGTTCATGTTTGTTTTGCACATACAGCCTAGACTTTGGCGTTATTATAAAATTTGTGGCTGTTCTACTTCATCGGAGACCTGTAGCCCAGTGGTTACAGGTGCTCTGATGGGTTCGATCCCGCGCCCCGGGATCACCAAGCCTTCCATCCCACCACGGTCAGTCAATTGGCACCAGAACAGTCTGGGAAAATAACACCAGGGACTCTATACATCGGAAGGGTCACGAATTACTGTATAAACCGGATATGCATTCAATCACCTCCAAACAATGCATGATGAAGTCCAATGCATGGCGCAGCCCTCGAGGATTGATCAACGCCGACAACCCCATCCTTTACCCTTTATCTACTACATCATTTACTCAAGGTGCTTTCTCAATATTATAATTCACAATGTTAACCTTTTAATCACAATCTTAACTCTTTTATTTACTGCCTTTTTCTTCTTAATGGCAGGGTATGTTGTGAAATATAACTCGTAGAAGTGCTGAGATATTTGCAAAACTCCGGACCCGGATGGTGTAGTGCTGAAGTGCGCTGCTCCCCGGTAAGGACAACAGCGCGTGTTCGTTCCTCACTGCATACACCTGTGGTCCGGAGTTTTGCAAATATTTCAGCACTTCATACGAGTTAACCTTTTATTTTTTGCCTAGTATAAATTTTCATGGCAGTGTATGATGTGAATTACAGCCACAACGATGCTGAGATATTCGCAAAACTTGAACCCTAGGCCAGATCGAACCATTTCCCTTTCATCACACTGTGCACCACGAAAGCCTTTTTCTGCCTTTCTCTGGGCCTGCTTCCTACATACCCTTCCATCGGCAATCACCTGTCAGCTGGTTTCTTCTAGGAAGCACAAATCTGCATCGAATTCAGTTAAGCTGAGGCTGTAATCGAAGTCACCAATGTTAACCTCTCATTTTCTGCACACTTTAATTTTTTACGACAAAGAGGTGCGAGCTCCCGGAAAGGTGAATCGTGGTTCGATCTGGCCCAGCGTCCAAGTTTTGCGAGTATTTCACCACAGTGTGCTACTATAATTCACTTCATCCTGTTTTCTTCTACGGCCACTACTTTCGAATAAAAATTCTTGCCAACGATTTTGTGAGTTTTGTCCATTCCAGCTTCAAGGCACCACGTTGGAGATCGTGCTCTTTGCGTCGAGCATCGAGAGCCTGAATTCATCGGCATCAAATTGTTACGTGGCGCTCGCTACCCCACCTCAACATTGTCATGCTCACCTCGACGACGCGAGCCTTCAGGTGATCTGTCGTTTCTTTTGTTCTACCAACTAGGTCAATATCGCTGTCAAAACTGCTCTCAAACACATCCCGCAATGGCATAAACGGCTGAAAAAAATGGTGCATTTGAAAATCAATCTTAGGAATGTGATCAAAATTCAAGAAAAAACTGCACAATAAGGAGTCCACCGAAGTAAAATGGCACTCGCATTTGCTTTAAGTACACAAGTTTAGCACGAAAGGGCTTCAGAATGCCGAAGCGTGAAATAAGATAGGAGAGCGAGCGAAATAAACCACTAAGGTCTGGAAGAAAACGATTTACAGGTGCCTTTCCAGGTTATTCGATGATCATTAAAATTACCGCTCCGGATTCATCAAGGCTATCATCCATCTAGGGTCGGAAAACTGGTATAGGACATGTCAAGAAAAAAATCACTCTTTAAAATCTAATTGGGAACGCTCTAACCGGGGTATCTCGAGACTCCACTGAGAATCCACTCGATCTGTATTCTACAACACTCGAGATGATATGAAAATCCTCGAGCAGCAGCCGAAGCAATATGTAAAAGTTGGATGACCTTCGTAAATGGTGGATGTGAGGAAACGAATCGAATATGAGAAGTGGTAGGGTTCCCACAGTAGATGAGCAAGACGAGCCGTATAGAAAAGAATAAAAGTTAATCTTGATGGACTAGTCTTGATTACGGTGATTATGGCAGAAGCATTCCTAGCGCGCGTTTAAGCACAAGGTATATTGCTGCGATTGTGGAGGAAAATATGCAAGAATTTTTAGAATGAAAAAATATGATAATCTGAATAACTCTAACAACTCACAGAATTTTAACTCCCAAGTCCGACTTTCTATTAACCTCGGAATTGATTGAATATATCTTTCTACTTCTGTTCAGCAAGCACGAGGTGCTATTTTATCTCTTTATTTACGCACAAGCTGACGTTTCGGCGGATTTCGCCTTCCTCAGAGCCTGGAAGGGTCAAGTTGACAGCAATCCACTCGACCAAACACCTCCATAACCAAGCAGAGAAAACTCTAAACCAAGATTTCAATCACATTTAGCGTAGCTCTGCACATTCACCGCTTTCTATCAGTCTTCCACTGAGTATGTCGCGTGAAGACCGACCGCACAGAATTCACATGGAAGCGTAATGTGCCCCTCCCATCAGAATAACAGGTTTATATACTGTCCAATATCACGCGTGATAATGAGGCATTCCTCCCTGCGGTTCATTTTTGCATTCTTGGAATTTATCCAGAATGCCTCTAGAGTTTTGCGCGCTTGTGTTCTCGATTCTTGCGCGAGGATCGTAACCCTTACTTCAAAATCTTCTCCGTTATGTTTCTGCGTGCTTTGCGTACCTAGTGGAGTACTTAGTTTACGTTTACCGACTAGGTGTTCTTTTATACGTATGCAGAGTGGCTTACCCGTCTCGCCAACGAGAGGTAATGAACTAGGACGTTTTTACTACTTGGCTTTCGATACCACTTCATAATGTAGCCGTTTTCTGATAGGCTAATTTGCACGTTCAGAAATGGAAGCCAGTCTTCTTTTGGTTTCTCTCAGGTGAATTTAATATACTCTGACTGTGTGTTCAACAACTCGAAACATCTGTCGATTTCTTCTTGCGTTGAACAAATGACCAAGCAGTCATGTATATATCTACAGTAGAGTAACGGACCGAGGTCGGTTACTGGCGCTTTCACCTTAGACATGAGTGCAATGGCAAGGCTTGGAGCCAGTCGTTGTCCCATTGCCAGCCCTCTCATTTGTGCGTAATACCTCCCGGACCATCTGAAGATTGAGCAGTTCAGGCACTTCTTTAAGAGTGTCATCAACTGCTGAATCGAGAAGCCGTACATGTTCATTGCTCCTTCGTGTTGTATAAGGAGCTCCTTTATATCTTGCATAGCGGAGTCATTCGACACGTTCGTATAGAGGGCAGTGACGTCGAGGGACTCCACCACGTACGCGCTGTTGAGTCGCGCGTTACGTAGACGATCCAGGAACATTTGGGTGTTCGTTAGATGAGCTGGAATGTACTTCAACAACTGAGTAAGTATTAGGGTTATTAACCACGTTATTCTCTCCGTTGGCCCATCCACGCAGCTAATGATAGGTCTAACCTTAAATAACGATGGATTGGTAGACACGAGATCATCGCTGGATACTAACTTATGGGTTTTAATAAGTACAGGACGGGACATGTTGGTAAGTCAATTTTGAGATGAGAAATAACTGATGGTTTTAAC